TGTGAAGTGGAAAGGAAATTATACATGATTCAAAACAGTTTTTACGAATAAAAAAAGCTAAAAGTGTGTTGTGAAAAAATATTCAGCCCCCCTGAGTCAATACTTTGTGGAGCCACCTTTTGCTGCAATTACAGCTGCAAGTCTTTTAGGGTATGTGCCCACCAGCTTTGCACATCTAGTGACTGCAATTCTTGCCCATTCCTCCTTGCAAAACAGCTCAACCTCAGTCAGATTAGATGAGTGTTAATGAACAACAGTTTTCAGATCTTTCCACAAATTCTCGATTGGGCTTAGGTCTGGATTTTGACTGTGCCATTCTTAGATCATTGGGAACATGAATATGTTTTATTTTAGTTCAAGTTTGGTCTTGTCTGACCAAAGCACCACTTTCCTTCCACATTTGTTGTGTCCCCAACATGGCTTCTGGCATACGGGACTTCTTGTGTTTTTTTAACAATGGCTTTCTTCTTTCCACTCTTCCATAAAGACCACATTTGTGCAGTGCACGACTAATAGTTGTCCTGTGGACAGATTCTTAACCTGTGGGCCGCAAGCGCCACCTTGAGAGCCTAAAAAAACAGCAGTTTTTAACTTTGGGCCGCAGAGGGCCACGGGACCGCATTGATTTTGTATAATGTGCAATACACTTTCTCACCACTAGCAGCAGTAGTGCACCACTCATATGTTTAACAACTTTTTTTAATATGTAGAAGAAGAACCTTAGAAACCTGCTGAAAATGGAAACCTATTTTAAATTAAAAGTAGAAGCTAAAATAAAGGCAACCCATCAAAAATGCCAAAGTTTGTCACTAATATGAAGAGCAGCTTCTGGTTCAACCATGCAATATTTTAAAAGTTCAAAACATTATCAAACAGATTTGCAGATACAACTATATTTTAATTTGCACTTTATCAAATTATTTTTTTGCTAATTTTTCAATATTTTTAATGTATTTTAAATAAACTGTAAACTTGTCAAAAAGCTATTGTTACTGTTATTGTTTGTCACTAATA